TTTAGACTCACTTGAGCTTGCTCAATTAACACAATATGAAATGAGAAAAATACACTGTATGCACATGCCGGCTCAATTTTATTCACTTCAATTTTTACAAGCTACATTTAAACGCTTATTTTGGCTGATTTGCAGTGTTTGAGTGTTGATTTTGACAGGCACTCACTGCAGAAGGTCAGCAATTCACCTGTAAGTCGGGAAATTACCTTGCCTAATTTTTGCTGTCCTTCAAGTGCAGCCTGACAGTCTCCTTTGCATTTTAATGCAGACAACCTGATTATTAAATCTTAGAGGGCTTTTTTGTCTGAAATAAATGGCTTGGGTTGCTGGGCAACCTGACTTGATCAAACACGGTTCCCCTCCCCCCATTTTCCAGCTCATAATTCTTCGTCTATATTCAGGCATCTAGTTCTTAATTAGATTAAGATGCAAAAACCCCCACTGTGAGCAAATTCACACTGATGTACAATTCTCTCTCACACACACATACATGATATAGCTTTGCTTTAGTACTGTACACACCCACATCTAATTTCTAATGTAATTGATAAATATTTGTAAAAAGAGATTGTCTCTATTTTAAATGTAACATTTAAACCAAAATATTCATTCAATTCATGTGACATATGGGTTTACTTTCAATTGCAAACAGAACCTTTATCCTTGCAGTTCTGATGGAAATTATATAAATATGATACAAAAGAAAATTAATATCTTTAAAAGGGAGAAAAAAATCACCCATAATTACACAACACAAAATACATCTCAAATAGTAGAACACATCCATGCTCAAATACACTCCTCGACACAGGCCATACATTACTCTACCAGCACACTATACATGCACCCATTTCACCAAAATGGCCCGGCTATTTGGAAAGGTGAGGACATCACATGCTGATATAAAGGGTCATTTGGAGGACTTGTTGGAGCTTCGTACTGTGAAGGATTGGATTTTCACCAGAATGGCTGCACTTTAACATCACTCTATCTGTCCTTCTCTACATTTCATTCAAAGCTATAAGGTGCTCAGAATGATGGAGCACAGTGTGTGTTTTTCACTCCCCAGTGATTTAAATCCTGGCCTTTACAAATGAGCATGAGTTACTTTGTTTTCTAAATAAAACATTTCCATCTAAACTCACAGAGGGAAAAAAAAAAATCTGAAACATTTCTTCACTGTTTGCATTTGTCTTCAAGGTAAACTTAAATGGGCCATTAAATTTCACTCAATTCTCACTGGTCTTAGTGTGGAAGAAGGGGCTGTATGCATATAGCAAACCAAGGACAGTTGGATTTGCCATAAAGAGCATGCCATTTTTGCTCTCCCTAGAGCTATGGCTTTGATTGAATCCTGAAATGAGTTGAAATGTCACAAATCCCTACCAATATGCTAGAAATGAAAATTGGCCTTGGGGTTTTAAGGTTCCCATTAAGGGTGTGCTTAACACATTCTGTTAAGTGTGGTTGGAGTGCATCAAAAATACAACATAATCACGTGTCTCTGCACACTCAAGCAAAATGTTTCTAAAACATATTGATGCGGAGTCTCTCTGTGGTGAAGAGCAAGAGAGTTCAGGATCAGGCCTCGACAGGACTGAAGCGAGAGAAAAGCTGAGGGGCAGCTGGGTCCAAATTAAACCAGGCAATATCTGAGCAAAACCGGAGCAATTATCATTTTGGACTTGTACCAAAAAAGCTGGGTAAATCCTGTATTTTCCTGCAGAATGTTTTGGATATGAACTTAAAGCAGGATTTTACAAAAAAAAAGTCTGAAATTACATTCGAACTGGAGCAGGAAAGCACCGGTGTCTGAATGCTAACATGCATGAAAAACAGGCTTTTATCACCTCCTTCCTTTATATAACACAGTATATCTGGCTACTTTTATGTCAAATTATAGTATATGATGCATTCTGCAGTGTCTTGTTTTATTAAAAATAATAAACTCTGCCTGTACATCAGCATCTCCTTTCAGACTGGTAATGCCTGTCTCGCTGTGAATGCACTGATTTGATACAACCATCCTCCTCTCTACCCCTCATTTCTCAGGTAGCTGTATTTTCAGGAAACAGGAAAACGACTCTCCTTGCTGCTTAGTATTCACATCACGTAAAGTGGGTCTGTGTTCCTCATTTAGTTCTGTACTGTACAGCTGGGGAGCTGTCCGGCGCGCGGCGGCAGTATGCAAATGACTCTGGATTTGAATGGAGATGGAGGTAGACACAAAGCTCAATTAGAGACAGAGAGAGAGAGGTGGTGGGGGAGCGTTGAGTGTCTGGAGGGGAGGGGGAGGGGAAAAAAAAAAAAAAAAAGCCTTGGCTGCTTAATGCCAACCTGAGGAAACCAATGTACGGACACATTCAAACACAAAGGCACACACAGATGTGAATGCGCTTAAATAGCCAGGCAGATTTCTAAATTCTTCAGACAGGCAGCTGATCTCTGAGGGGCTCAGACAGCTCAGCTCTGCGATGCGTTCCGGTCACACCAATCACGCTGAGAATATCCCACATCATCCATATCACACATATCATCAAAACAAAAAGGTATCAGGCAAGCACAGGTGCACTTCCTTTTTTTGTTTACAGCTCAAAGAGAGACTCTCTGATGCGGCAAAAAGTATGAGGGGGGATGGCGGCCATTTTGTTCTTGGGTGTTAGTCGATGCCCAGCAGCAGTACACATCACCTGACCCAGTGCCTGCACGAGTGTCCTTGGAGGAGTCTCTGACATCAGCACTGCCACCTCTGGTTGCCACAGCAACCGCAGCGCAACTGGGTGGGGTGGTTGGGGGGTGGGTAGGGCGTTTGTGCGGGATGGAGGGCAGAATAATTAATATGCACATACAGGGAGTTTGAATGAGGAGTTAATTGTATTTGTTGGTGTGTGAAGCAGAATTGAACGCCACAGCAAAAACGAGGAATATCAGAGAAGGGGAAAAAGAGATTAAGCGAGCTCATTGGTCAGAGAAATCATTTGCATCGTTGTCAAGGTTATTTCCAAATGATTTCCTTTCATACAAGAAAGTAACTTCATAGATGAGACGGTGGGGAGATGGGCCACAGGGTGGGGATAATCCTTCTCCTCCTCTTCCTCTAGATTCTTCTCCTCCTCCTCCTTCTCCACAACATTATCATCATCATGAATAGTTTACAAAGCTGTTTACAGCCAAGGTGATGCTTCACACAGCATCAGTCGGTCAGTCAACGGCTGACTTTGTGTCCATGAACTGCAATTATTTCACCATGCCTGGATAGATTGTTTAGTGTGCAGCTGAAATAGAGGCTCACAGACAGGAATGCAGACTTGACTCTGGGTGGATGAGACTAACTTGTTCAGGGAGGCTCAAAGATCATTCAGCTGATCCGCTGCAGAATGTCTGATTTCCCATAAAACACTGCCTGTCAGATTATAGACACAACCTTTGGTCACAGAGACACACAAGCCAACATTTTGTCTCCCTCTTCCAAATCACCTCTCACACACACACACACACACACACACACACACACAGAGAGAGAGAGAGAGAGAGTTTTTCTTTCTGCCTCAGTGTTAATTCTGTAAATAAAGTAGCTGCAGCAGCACAAACACATATATAAAAATCAACACCAATGTAAAAAAAAAAAAAAATAAACATGTTTTATGATATTCTGCCCCGAAATAAATAAAAAAAATAAAAATACAAAAATAAGTCATCTACACCACACTGCGGAATTAAGCGCAACAGCAGAAGGAAAAGGTGTTTGGTTAGACTGACAGCACAGACGTACATGCACACAGTCACTCACGCACGCACGCACGCACGCATTATACGCCCTATCAGTGCGCGCACGCACGGGCGCACATACAGTAAACGTTGCAATGGTCTCATCAATAATGCATCGGCACTTCATGTTTATGCAATTTACAGGGCAAGACCGAGCGATGAATGCTGTAGATGTAAGCCTGGCGCACAATAAACGTATAACGTTTTACAAGCCTATCACACACACAGAGCTCACACACACAAAAGTTCAAATCTTTTCCGCCAGTAGAGAAAGAGATTAAGATAATAAAACAGTCCTCAGCACATACCTGTTATGGCACTATTTCTTTGATTCTGGTTTATGCAGGCTTGAAGGGCTTCATGATAACACCGCACTAAGGAAATAAAACTGTAGCTGTGGTGATATGCAAATTAACGGCTCCCGCTGAATGCAAGGGCATTTATTATTCATAAATTACTCATGTTTATGCAAATGACGGTATACGGAAACACTGGTGGGGGTTGAGTGGATCCCTCCAAACATACTGTGTGATTCAATTTCTGTTTTGCTCTTCCATCTAAAATGATCCAAAATCCAGACATTTGACCAACGTGGTCATGAACCGGCTCAGTTATTCTGAAGTTTTCATCCAGGTTGGCAGTGAGCTGAGGTTGGGGAATCAAAGGAAGGTGGAGGGCACAGTGCAAAGCCAACATAAGGGGAATAAAGTCCAGAAAACTAGGCGAGTATGGGCTGTTACTGAAACACGCCACATCATGTCATTTCTTTAGTACTTATTCATCTATTTCATTTTTATTTCTCAAGAGCAGGCTGGCTAATGTTCTTCAACCTGTGGGGCCACTGGCAGACGGGGCCCTCTGCACAAGTGGTGTAGCCTTTATTGAATAAAAGAAATACATGTGGTATTAAGCAGGTCTATGTTATACTTAAATGTGCTTGCAATCTACAGTAATTCCTATAGGCTATAATAGCATTGAAGCCAGATACTTCACTGCAATTCTTTTTATTAAATGTAAATTAGACAATGGAAGCTCGCAGGTAAATGTCAATTTAACTATTACACATAGATAGAAAACAAAACGCGATTCATAAGGTTCCAGTGTCTGTGTATATGTGTGTGTGTGTGTGTGTGTGTGTGTGTGTGTGTGTGTGTGTGTGACATTTCTTTTGCGCACTGTAGCCTGAATTACGGCAGTAGCGCATCATCAAAAGGGGACAGCGTTGACGCAAACGCGTGGCGACGCGCATCAGTCGCGTTATTGCTGGTGTTCGTGTTTTTATACGAGACGTCTCGAAGTTTTTCCGCGGAACCAAAGAGGCAGTTTGACAGACAGCGTCCCCCCTGCAGCGTCCCCCCTGCAGCGTCCCCCGGGTTGGAACGGACTGTCGTTTATTGAGACACACAGAAAGTGAGTTCATTGCTGCGAGCGTAAAGCTGTCACACTGCGAGCGTAAAGCCAACTCTCTTTACTCTCGCCTTCTCTCGCAGAAGCAGCCATGTTCCACAACAGCTCGCAGAGGAAGTACTGGATCTTCAGCAGTGAAGACGAAGTGGAGCAGATGAGATACAAGGCCAATCAGAAATTCCGGAACAAGATAGCAGAAAGCGGGAAGGTAAGCGGTGCAAACAGGGACAGTGTGCTGCTGTGTGACAGTGTACCTCACCTCCTCCCTCCCTCCCTCCCTCCCTCCCTCTGTCTGTCTATGTCTGTCTGTGTGTGTATCAGCCCGGGGTGAGTGAGTCCACCTTCCTGGAGCGTCATGAGGAAGATGTCTTATTCAGACACTATGAGAGGAGACTGCTGGACTTCTGCAACGCCTTCAAGCCTGTGATGCCCAAGTCCGTGGTGGTATGTGTGTGCTTTCTATTCCTCTGTGTCAGAACAACGGGACAGCACCTGTCTGACCCCTCTCTAGATATGTGACCCCTGTGCGTCTCACCTGTGCAGGGTACAGCCATCATGTACTTCAGAAGGTTCTACCTGAGCAACTCCATCATGGAGTACCACCCCAGGATTATCATGTGAGTAGTGTTGATCGTGATGATATGGGGGGGGGGGGGTAGACGTTGTTGAACTAGAACATGAATTTAATAGTTTGCCTTTGATTGTGTAAATGCTGGGAGCAATATGATTTGGTGCAGATATCTGATGTTGCCACCTGAGTGCTTCAGCCTGGTTCCAGTCCTCGAAATCAGGCCCACATCTGCGATTGGATTCAAATTGATTGAATGAAGTGAAACACAATGGCAATGCAGTCTGATCAGTATGGAACTCAGACGGGTTTTTTGTAATTTTGCCACACACATATAGCATTCATCTTTCAGCTCTACTTAAGAAGTTCTATTTGGAGCAAGTAGAATGTTGTTGATGGAGGAATAAGTCAGTTTAACACTATTTTATTAAGTTCATAAATTTCCCCATCAGTCCAGGATCAACTCAATGTTACTGAAGATGTTCCTTTCTTTGGCATAAAATAAAATGTCTCCTTTAGGAATTGTTTCCCTTTATAATCTTTTCAACTTAACTATTACATAAGATATGCATATAATCACCAAAATGTCTATTGTACCTGTTTCAGGCTGACGTGTGCGTACCTGTCCTGTAAAGTGGACGAGTTCAACGTGTCCAGCACCCAGTTTGTGGGCAACCTTCTGCAGGAGAGCCCAGCAGGGCAGGAGAGGGTTCTGGAGCAGATCCTGGAGTATGAGCTGCTGCTTATCCAACAACTCAACTTTCACCTGGTGGTCCACAACCCCTACAGACCCATGGAGGGCCTGCTCATCGACCTCAAGGTAGGCACACTCCTGGAGAGCTCATATTACTGTCACTGTGCTGATCTAGCTAGTTCATATTATTTGTCCTGTCACATTTGACTTATTATATCTTAATAATTTCATCCCTCAGACAAGATACCCTACGCTGGAGAACCCAGAGTCACTGAGGAAGAGCGCTGACGACTTTCTGACACAGGCGGCCATGACAGACGCAGGACTGCTGTTTCCTCCCTCTCAGATCGCTCTGACAGCTATTCTCAACAGCGCATCAAGAGCCAGCCTCAGCATGGAGAGGTGGGTCTGTAGGTGTGCTCAGGTTAAAACAAGGACTACAAAAGTATAGAGAGATTTTAGTAATATTAAATATCTATTTCCTTAAATTATCTGATTTAGAATGAAGTTTCAGTAATATTTAGGTTTCTTTTTAATGATGGTCAAACTGCAAACACATTCAGATACATTGGTAAGGTATGACCCTAGGTATTTATGGTATTTAAAATATTTAGAGTTTTTTTTTTTTTTATGCATTTGTCCTGGGAATACTCTGAACCACAACTATAATGTGTTGATGTGTGAAATAAATATGCTCTACTAGAATAAAAACAAAAACCGTAAACTGAAATATGACTGAAGGAAAACATTTATTTGTTGCTATTTTCTATTTTTCCCTTAATGTTTTTTTTTGTTTATTGTTTTTAATGCTTAGCTACCTGACTGAATGTTTGGGGCTGAAAGGGGACAAAGAGACTCTCTCGAAGATGTATGACTCAATGAGACGTGAGTAAGCGACACCTTCAATTTGACACCACAAGATGGTGATATTGAGCAGTTTTGAGTAGAATGGTACACCTCACAAGTGAATGTTTCCTGTTTATCCAGGGATGAAAACCCTCCTAAAGAAGTATGAACTCCCCAAAGCGGAGGAGGTGAACGTTTACAAACAGAAGTTGGAGAGGATTCATGCTGAATTTTCCACTTCAAGCAAGTAAGGAAATGAAGTGACCTGCTTATATTTTTTATGGAATACTTGAAGGGATTTTCAATAATCAGAGTATAATCAAATATTGTCACTGTCATTATGTTAAAATGCTAAGTTTACTGTAGTGTTGTACATTGACACCGGTATGTGAATGCTTTTGTAATGTCATGTATATCCCCCACACCCAAGTAAGCAACTCCAGTTTTCTGTTGTCATAACATAGTAACAGTTTTATTTTAGCCAGGTTGTCGTATCTAAGATGCAAAAGGTTCAAGGTTCAGTATCAGGTAGAAAAATAAAAAGGAACACATCATCAGCTGTATGAAATACAGAAAGGAAGTACAACAGCACGCCACATTCCTTCCTACATCATCCATACCATGTAGCACAGCTGATATTGGTATTGCTGATGAGGAGACTTTTTAGGCTCATTCATAATCATTTAATCGGTCGCCAGTTGTCTGTTTAACACTTGGTGAGGTTGGTGAGGTCCGTGGTATCTTAAGTGCAACTACAGTAAACAGTTTGGTAAACTCTTGAGCTATGACAGGCACAGATTCAGACTTTGCAGCTGCTTGAATCATCAGGAGGCACACAGGGCCCACCTTTTTTTTTTTTTTTTTTTTTAACGACTATGAAGTTGATAAATCTGTGCGTGGCATGACTTCTCAGGATGAATCTATATGAAAACAGTCGGTGCAGAGGTGTACGGTAACACCACCTGTGATGGCGGGAGAGCAAGAGACTGCAAATGCATGAAAGCTTTCGTTCACATCCCAAGGCTTAGAAGGGAGTTCAGGTGATGTTTGTTAGAGCAGCATATATGTAGGCCCACACACTATAGCAGGATCCATTCAGGGTTAACACATGCACAGGACAGGTTACACATATCTCCTACAAAAACTCTTTGACTATCTCTCAGCTCTGTTCAGCTATAATCATACACAAACACCTTTTTTTTTACTGCTGTACAAGCCTAAGTATATAATATCAACAAACAAAGCAGCATATAAAAAAATGTAACAAGTGGTTCCAGTGCTGCGTGGTAGTTCATACACAAAGACGGTGGAAGTTGTTGGTTTGATGGAAGAGCTTTGTCATAAAATCAGGTGACGTGGGCGAGTGGGTGGCGTGTAGAAAGGGAGTTAAGGCTTGTGTCATCTTGGAGAGAGGTGCTATGTTTAAATTCCCTGATGACGGCAGAAAACGCTACTTCAATGCTTTGGATGGCCTCCCCATGTAATCCTCGCAAGTTTTGTCCAAGGAGAAAGGAGCGGCTGATCAGGGTGCCCCATTTGTCTGGTTCTATGTCAATCACTAACCATAACCAGTCAAATGTCTGAGGGAGTGGCAGGCATACCGGGATAAAAGCAGTTCAGACACTTCTGCAGTTGACTCAGGTCCATCTTCATAGAAATCATCTCTTCAAGATCTGGTACGACAAGGCTTCTTGTCAAATTTGAATCAGTTCAACGGTGTCTGAAGCGTTTTGGGAAGGGCTTTGGAAGGACATTATTCAGATATGCAGCAAGTGGTTTCCCATGGAGAACAGCCATATTGCGTTTGAACTGCCAGGAATCTAGGCCACATGCTTATAAATACAGACTGACTTTAGTCTTCGGTCGTGCACCTCATGGGATGAGGCCTCACTTTGGCTGGCTGTGTGGTCTGATTACCACACTTTGATTCTCAGGTGGAAATCTGCAAAACTCACATTACCTGGATAGCGGCAGCCAGTGACATGATGGTGCACTCTGTCCTGTAAGATAAAGTGGACATGTTTGTGAGAGGCACACGCTTGAAGAATCACCTAATTTTGCTGTGCATTAAAATTTTTGTCTGAATAGATTCACATATGGTGTGAACTAGTCTACATGAAGTTGAATGAAGTGACACTACAACTACTAATGGTGATCATGAAGGTGTTGTGGGAGCTAGATGCCACATTCTTTACCTAGATGAGTGTTGAAAATGGACTTGAAGGGGTTGGTCACAAACGTAATGTAGGGAAAAGAGCTCACTGAGATAATTCTAAACTTGCCGTTACATGTTGATGTAACTCATAACATTTTTGTTGCAGCAAACGAAAGAGAGGATATGAAGAAGATGGTCACGTAGCAAAAGAACCACGCATAACAGAAGAGGTGGGACAAAATTTAGCATTACAGGGCAGCATTCAGGCAAACATATTTACTATACCTTCTGAAATTAACTTTTTTTTTCTTTGCAGGAATGGACTGATGAAGACCTGGTATGAGCATTTGCCCCCAAATGATTTTTGATTCAAACAGAGTTTTAAGATATACTACTTAATTACAATGTTGAGCCATCAAAGTTAAATGACCAAGCCTTTACAGAAGCGGCAAAGACAGTTTGCATAAATGTACATGTCATATTTACTTTTCTACAAGATGTTGTAGTAACTTGGGTTTGCCTTTGTTCTGCAGTAAGAATAAAGATATTTTTCTACATTCTGTCTTAATGATTCTGCAGATCGAAAACAGAATGATCTTTACACGTAAACAAGCCACATGATACCACGTGCATACGCTTCTCCACCTTTGTCAGGGGACAATGAACAACTCCATAATCTACTTTACAAAAACTGTTTAATAAGTGCATGCATGTCTGATACAGTCTGTACTATTCAAAAAATTTACTGCTGTAAACACTTTCATTTTTACTTGGTTTCTCTGATTATGTGTCTTGTCTGGCATTGAGAAGTTTCAAAAAAAGACTTAACCAAATAATCAAAAAATAGCTGACACAATCGGAGGAAAAAAAATTCAGCTCATCTCACTTATATACTCATGATTCCAGCAAGAGAATTTATTCTTAATATAAAATAACCATACTTTTCTGAAAGACTTTGTTCCAATCTAGAAAACAAAGAAAAAAAAAAAAAGAACAAACAGACAGAAATGCTAGTTTCAGCACTTTGCGGATATTGTCATAACCTTAAAATAAATCAGTCAATTACAGTATAAAAAGCATTATCGCTCATAATCCAGTTACAAGAAAGGGGGACTGAGAACTAGCTTCTTCATGTCAGTTTCCTCATATTGAGCAGGAAGGGGGGGCGGGATACACTTTGGCAACCTGTGCTATCAAAACACGTAGTGGGTACAAAGAAACCTCTTTCGAAATCTTAATATTTGGCCCTCATGATCAAGGGAATGAAATGTACCCAAGTCAGACTCGTGAACACAGTTGAGGGAAAAATATGTTTCCTGTGCATACAGCTGTCAGTCACTGGTGCAAGTTTCTTTTTTTATTTATTTGTGTTTTTAAGTACTGCGTCGGTTGTTGTACTTGGCTGCTGTTGTTGCATAGCTCTCTTTGTGGTGAACGGGACAAGATGGCAGGTGGGTGGGGATGGGCGGGACTATCGGAGGAGGACATGATGGAGGGTGGTGGAGGGGTTGCCATGGTGATGAGGGTAGAGCATGCTAGGTCTCCTCTGTGCTGCACTCCGGTGGAGGAGACTTGACGGAAGGATGGGAAGATGGGAGGAGAGGAGGAGTGCAGTACTACCTGTTGCTGTTGGACATGGCATACTGTGCCTGCTTCTGCTGGAGGAGCTCTGTGATGGCCAGCAGCTTTTTCAACACATGCTGCAGAGAGGAAACAGGAATTAGATAGATATTCTGAAACAGGACGGCATGAATCGTCCTGCACGTGCACAGCCGGGAAATCATCGGTCTCTGACCTGCTGGGCTCCCCTCTCGTTGCTCAGCGTCCGGAGCTCGTCTGAGTGTGTGGCACAGACCTCATGCAGCGCAGCCAGGTCCCGAGACAGATCCGTCCTAAAGTTCTCTGTGACTTCGGGGAGGTCAGGGACATTCTACAAACACAGTGGACAATTTCAGCAAAAGAATAAGAGACCGCTGATAGTTTGGAAAGGCAAAGAATAGTCAACTCACCCCCAACTCATCCAGAAACATGATCATCCTATGTTTGTTGTTTTTGATGAAAGGGTTCACACCCTCCATATAAGGCTCCTGTTTGAGGATAGGAAAACAACATTTGTTAAATGAGTCTATCATAACTCACAGCAGACATAAATACCAATGCAAATGAATTCTCTGATGTATAGATACTGTCACAACAATATTTCTACTGCATGATATTGCTTCAAATACATAATCCATACCTTAGCACCAAATTCAACCAGGTTGGCCAGGTTCTGGACAGACTTGGCCACCAGTGTGAGGGTCCTGCCTGCTGCTGAAGATGGAGGGTCTGAGAGAAGACATGGTAGTACAAAACACACATTGTAACATGTCGAACTGCAAACCGGGGTTTTCTGTGCTTTTTGAAAGAATACGCACCAGCAATGATGTTGAACATTCTCGGGTTGAGGATGGCAGGACAGATCAGTCTTAGAAATACAAAGCCACTGGAAGAAGAATGGATGAAGTATGTTAGACTAAATAAGAACAAACAAACATGCTAAAATGAATGTTGTAATATTAGATTGATTACTGTTTGTTTACCTTACGACTCTCGTCCGCATGGTGGTGTTAGTGGGCCATTTCTGTTGCACAGACTTTTGCAGACATCCATAGATGAACCTCAATGTCCTGGATGGATCATCACAGAGACAATGACTCATTATTTGGCTTATTAGACCGTTTGCTTTACATTTCTGCTTGAACAGCCAGTTTAAGTGACCTAACCAAAAGCACAATACTGTGTGTGAGCGTATGTGTGTGTTTATTCTTACGGTGGTAGGATCTCAGCCGCCATGAAGATCTTCTCCACCAGCTCAGATAGGATGTTGAGAAGATGAGCCAGGTTCAGGTTCACATCCTCATTTTTTTCCAGTTTGGAAGGGTTCAGCTTTAAACAAGCAGAGAAGGAGAGACAGAGACAGGAGGAGAACAAAAAAAAACAAATGTCAATGATTTAAGATGAATGTATTATGTGTTGGGTAGATAAAGCAGCAGAAGAAAAGAAAAACCCAATAGCGTATACACTGACATTGTCTGAATGGGTGTATGAACTACAGTGTTTTGAAGTATTCATTGCAACAGCCCTCAGCCATGTTGATGTTATGTCACTGTGATATATTTTGCTTTGCATCTACATGGCAGGCTTGCAGAGTGACTGCACTGATATGATATAAATGCAATGCATTTAACCTTCTATCACAGATAAAGGGAGAGTAAAATAGCTGTGTGTAAGAGGGAAAAAAACATTTGTAGGTCTTTACCTCGCAGGACTGTTTGCTCTCCATGATCTTGAGGATGGTGTCTTTGAGAGCGTGGTGAACAAACGGTGTGGCTGTGGCCTTCATGTACTGCTCCATCAGTGTGCTGGCCAGTGTGGTTGCTCTGAACAATGTTGTGGCCTCATCTGGTTATAGTGCACAAGCAGAGAAGGCTAAGCCAGTGTATGGGTACAGGGTTGATGAAGCAATTCAACAAGCAAACCAAAACAATAAGCTGAACCCTGTAAAACATTGCAAAATGAGTAATTTTATCCAATTTTAATATATTGGGGGTTGCTAAGGTAAAAGGTTAGTCAACACATGGATTCCGCAATATTTTCTGCTGTCTTACATGACAAGTTGTTTTTTGTTATTATTTGTTTCTTACCCTCCATGTTAATCTCTCTGTCATTGAGTGTCCTGAGTAGAGGGGCTTCAGCCTTCTCGTGTCTGAAGATCCGCAGAAGGAGGCTTGCCAATAAGGTGCGGTCCTGACCACATACATGGGCCAGAGCGTAAATGACATGGAACTCTTTCTGCAAGATCATCTGGGGAGGACAGACAAATATGATATTATTGTCATTTTAAGTGAATGGCAGAGCAGCAGACAGTTAATGGACATTGCAATCAAAACCACTTTTGGGTGGAACGAACCTCTTTGAACTCGCTGTACTCCTCTTCAGGCATGATCTTCTCCATGGAGTACCGGGCACGTACACGTAAGGAACCAGGCTCGATGCCCTTCAGAGGTACGTGGGAGCTGAGAGGGAACCACTCGTCAATCATCTGCCCTTTTTGCAGACGGTTCAACTGGCAACGCATGAACACTGAGAGGGAGAGATTGAGGTGTGGAGACAGATAGAAAGGTGGGAAACGTGAGTTGTAACATGAAACAAAAAGACAGCAGGTGGAGGAGACTTATAGAGGTTCAATTTGTTTTAAACTGATGATGTACTTACAGATGTCACTTTCTTTGCTCTTTTTTGTTTTGTTGCTCAGGCTGATTTCAAATCTATTGATCTCGCTTGACAAGTCACTGAAACAACATAAATACATTTTGTAATTCTGTAAGCAAGTAGAGAAAATGTATGTGAGGCATATAAAATAGAGAGGGAAAAAGAACAGAGGAAGAAAGAAAATATGCATTCAGCTATATGACACTCACTCAAAGATGAACTCCTCGGTGAAGACAGGGTTCTGCCCCTCCCTAGGGTGCGTCTTTGCCACCTGAACGCTGTTCAGGTAGATGTTACAGTATGGGCTGGTGAAATACTTCACCGGCAGCTTGTGGGCCTCCTCCACATACAACACCAGGCTGCTCACCTGAGAGGAAAAAAACAGGATTTAGCATAAAAAAAACCATACATATGCTGGGATGGGTTGTAGTAAGGGCTCATGTTCTAAACTAAAACAACAGTTTTTAATCCGCACTTGCTCTCTTCTCTCCTCTACAGGATTTCCAACTATTACCACCCACTCCTGATAATGTGGCATCACACTCCTGCAGAGAATCAGATCATTCCAGCTCACTACACATAATAAATATGTCTGTTTTGTCCCATAGAGAAAATAAGATACAGATAGCCCTTACATGTTTTATTCACCTAAGAAGTGCTAATAGTTACTAATTTGTTTAATAAGCCACCTATAGACAGCATGAACTACACAAAGCTTTAGTAATTGCCTTTAAAGTAAAACAAAACCAACTTAAGGGATCGCCAGGCATTTAGCCTTCAAAAGAAAAATTTGACTCGAGTCAAGTGTGGGAATGGTGTAATTATGCATGAACCAAATTGACTTGTCTTACAGTGGCAGTACAATGAACTTGCTCAATGAGTGTCAAGCCAGCCAGGATAAATGGTCACTTAGTCTTTTTTCTGTGTGCATTTTTAATTAATGCACTTACCTGTTTCAGATATTGAACTTGAGAACCTCTCCAACAATTAAAAGTCTTTCTAATCATGTGGCCACCATGTCACAATCATGCTCAATTTTAAATTGTTCTGATCTTCAAATTTTGACTTTACAAGTCCTCATTGCTTGTGGTACAACACCTAACTTATAAACATCTTTTTTACTGGCTCGTTGGATTTGATTATCTAGAGCCTTACTCTGTCTACATGAATGCACACTTACTGATGGTAAACGTACCTGTCTGAGCCTTTTGTTGGAGGTTGGCTGAGTGGTTTTCCTTAAGTTACTGCAGAAAGTTTGAAGGCATTTCATCCAATCCTACAAAAACAGAACACTTTGTAAAAC